AAATACTATCAAATTATTACATTTTAGCATCATCTTGGTTACAAACAGGCTTTTTATTTTTTTATTTTTTTAGCTGAATATAAGTCTATTTGCAACAAAAGTTTTCAGTTGCTTTATCTGTCCACTTTCCACTACTAGACTCCGATCCAGTTGTTTATACATTCAGTAATTATTGTTGATATCTTTCTGCAGTCAGTGGATATTGCATAGATGATAATAATTGTCTTCCAAAACTCTGAAACAATACAGGACATTACTCTGATAAGTGCATGAGAGTCAGAAAGTGTTAATTGAAACGGCAGATAAGCCTATACATACTCTTCCATTTATTACTCACACTTGTATTTCCCTCTCTCTCCCTCATACACTCACACACATATTCATTAGAGCAAATGGAATTAAGGGGATTGCAGGCATAATCTTCTTCCCCAGCGATGTGGGGGAACCAAGCTGTTAATTTGCCGCCTCTAACTACACCTCCAACTCAGCTTGTTTTGAAAAGGGCTCAAGTCATTGCGAGTCAATGGGAACTCACAGTACGTAAATGATTTACAACACTCAAACGTCGCTTGACATTTGGAAAATTAAGAAGGTTTCTGCACCTTTATGAAAGGTACATATCTGTTTTTCAGGGATCTATGAATGTGTCAGTAGTGGTAGTAACTTGGTAAATGGACCAGTACTTATATAGCGCTTTTCTACTCCAACTAATCACTCAAAGTGCTTTTTACTACAAGCCTCATTCATCCAGCCACACACACATACACACAGGCACTTTTTTTTTTTTATACGTACGTTTTCGATATTTGCAGTGCATCCTGATGGAGGCAACTCTGGGTTCAATATTTTGTCCAATGGATGCTTTAACATGTAGACTGGGATATCCAGTGACTATTGTAGCACTTACGTGGGTTGAAATACAGTATCAATGGATAATTACCAAGGTAATGAGTATTTTTGGGCTAGTATCAGAAGATTAAGAACGACCCTTAGAGCTCTGCTACATGAATGGCAGAGAAACCAGACAAACACAGTTGTGTGGCTTAAAAGTACTTTAGTGATGTTAAGCCTTTTAAAGGAATTTTGTAACCAACACTGAATTACAACAGGTTTTAACAGAACTTCAAGTATAAAAATTTCCCCCAAAGTAGCAAAAAAATAGAATAAAAATAA